CGTTGGGGCTCGACTTGACACTTGGCAGCCACGAGCGGGGCCGGTCAATCATTGATCTGGCGCGGGTGACGGTCTCGGCCTGTGTCGCAGCGGCGACGGCCTCGGCCTTGATCTCGACGACCGTTTCTGTGGCAGGCGGGCGCCGCGGAGGGGCCTTTTCGGCGCCGAAGCCGCTCAGGGTCAGCTCGAAATTGTCTAGGTCGAACGAAGGCACATCGAAGGCGGGCAGGCTGGGCAGCGTCTTGAACTTGAGGCTGAAGGCGCGGGGCGACGAGTCGATGCTGCTGATGGCAGAGGGCGGGGATTTGGTCGATGCTGACAATAAATCCGGAGTGGACTGGGAGCGATGGAAGGACGAACTTGGCTGTCGGACGGCCGAGGCCATCGCAAGCGTTGACCCGCTCATCTCATGGCCAGGACCAGATCGACGGGGCACAGTCCGACCCGCCGCACCCAGTTGTCCGTCTCGTGGGAAGACGTGGTTCGCCAGACAGCCGAGTCGGCTTGCCGGAAACCAGTACGTTGGGCTTCAGGCGAACAGCCAAAAGTGTCAGCACAGCGTAACCAGAGCAGGGGTCAGGGCCTGTTCTAGATTGCTATGCCGCCTCTGCCGTCGGCCGGGGATTCCTTTGGCTCTGGCCTGCGACTGCGCTGATCCGTCTGTCCAAGGCAGGGCAGGGCACTCAAAACATTTTTTCTTCCTTGGATCGCGGCAGGTTCTCGTCGGGAGGTCGCAGATACCGTAGGTAAGGTAAACCAGTGGCAGAACCAAAAAGCAAGAAAAAAAACTGGTGCGTTCAAATGCGCGAGTGAGGAGGCAGGCAGCGGGGGGGTCTAGTCTAGAATCGACCTGAGCTGAGCGGCGGCTGCGGGCAGCGGGCTGCGTTGCAGGACCACCCAGGGCAGATCAGGGCAGGCTCGGTTTCTAATATCCAGTGCTTTTCTTTTTTAATATCGAGCTCCGGTCGAGCTAAGCCTGACTCGCTGAACGTTGCCCCCCTTTGGTGGAGATTGCCGGCTCGGTCTTTCCAACTCTGCGGTTTGACAGCAGGATGATGCAAGTCTAGGAGCGAGAAGGGCAAGAGCTATAGCGGCAGCGGCCAACGGTACAGCGGCCAGGCTGCCAACCCGCAGCGGCAGCAGCAGCAATGGAAGGAGCACCTTCCTCAAGATGCAATTGACGTTGTCGATCGTGCGCTGCTGGGTCCATTCCCCATCAGATCTCATTCCCTATTTGCCCTACAGATACCTTACACGGTGAGAGCCTGAGGGCCTGCGCACATCATGTTACGGAAGGATTGCGATGGGTCCTGGGGTGACAGAGTCATAGGCAAGCCGGCAGCCAGGGAGATGACCGGGGGCGGCGTTCCCATCAATGGGGGTTGGAACATCTTCTTTGCACTGGGCTACATCTCACGCCTTTCTTGGCTCGCTACGGTGTACTGGACTCCTGATGAGCATGGCAGCCACAGGAGGATGGGACTGCGAGCACGAAACGTGGTGGACAGCCAAATGGGACGTGAATATTAACGTTGGGCTAACTCGAGACGAACGTGTGGTGTCTAAACTCAACTTGAACCCAAATGTTACTACATGCCTACGTACGCACCTAGCCTCGCCGGTGGGAAGTCCTGGATGTCGGTATTCTTTGATGTGCACTGTGTTAGGCAGGCGGGGTGGTTCACGGCACCCGACAAAGAGCAAGAAACGGGCCAGGGCTCCTGGGCAGCTCAAAGCTTGATGACAAACCGGAAACACATTAGGCGAGACAACGGTCATCCGCCGTCCATCTCAACATAATGAGCGAATTCGGGGCTCGGTCTGGAGGGCTGGGAGTCTCCTGGTCCGCAACAGCTTGCAGGACGCAGGACACAGCGTGCAGCGAGTGCAGCAGGAGCAGCAGCGTGCGGTGGGCGCGAGCCTCTCGTCAGATCATGCCCAATCGATGTGCCCCTTCCAATTCCGTATCAGACGCTGGACCGGCCGGATCTTGTGGCCGGCCGCGGACGGGCGCGTCAAAAACTGGTAGAGGATCCGCCTGGTGAAGCAGCTGGAGCTGAAGCTGAGCTAAGCCGGCGTTGGTTTGTCCGGGGTATGCTTGCTTTCTTTTAGGATGCGGGTTTTGGAGAATGCGTCTGCTTAGAAAGTGAGAGTGAAAGGGGTTCGCGGCTTACAGTACTGTGAGGTCTGAACACCTCCTGGCGCCAAGGCGCCGGCCAGCGGTGAAGCGGACAAAGCTCGAGTCAAGCTCTGCATCACTCGCTCCACTCCAGTGTCTATCAACACAAGGGACATGGACGCGCGATAGACGAACTAGTGAGTTGGGAGGAAGGACTGAGAATCACCAGAGTAACAAAAATTGTTTGGATGGCCCATCCCTGAATGTTATTAACTAGACGTTATAAGCCCTAAAGGCTTCACTCTAGAGGGTTATGTCCGAGGCGGGAAATAGCCATATAAACTAAAGTAGGTAGTTACCTACCTTAATTATTAGAGCCCTACACCCCAGCTTGGAATGCATACATAGTAGTAAAGGGCTTTCAATACATTCGCAGACTAAAGGCCGAATCAAAAGCTGGCTTTCTTTAGTTTTTTTTACCACGTCGAACCTAGTCTGATCCAGCGTGTCCCTACTCCACTGTTGGGCCAGGAAATGACGACAAATAAGGATTACCGCAGAAAAGATGGGTCGAGGTGAACATCAAACAACCTTGGTATAGCCAACGGATCCAGCAGCACGGGCCCAAGATCGGAACCCTCCATCGGAGGAAGCTTCCTGGCCAATTGAGCGGCGTGTTGTTGGGAGGGCTCGAAAGGGCGACAGAAAACGTGCGATTAACGATCAACGATTACCAGCAGCGACACGGCCAACAAAAGATGTGGTAGCCACGTGTGTACGGCTCGTCCAACCCGCCCGCCATTTTTTGCAAAAGTTAATAACGGCAGAGGTGATGCACGGAGTAACCCCAAAGATTTCTCCCCGCCGTTCCACAGTTTTCCAGGTTATTTCCCAGGACGTTGGTGGAGGAAGATCTCGTCGGGTGTGAGGTATTCCGTAATCAAAACGAGTTCAACCCCGCCCCCCACCGCCAACGGAACCCAGCGACGTCATCCAGGCCCAGCACTCCCGCTCGTCGAATCTTTTCTGCGGGCAGCAAGTCATCGATGGACGGGTGTCGGGGTTCAAGAAGAAGCCGTCCGCCGCCGCCGCCGCCCGCCGCCGCCGCCCGAGCCCAGCTGAAAAGTGGCTGCGCGATGCGCTGGCCGGCATTCATTCCCACCACGTAACTAAATTCTCGCAGCGAGTCGCTGGGCCTAGCTTGCGCTTTGCAGCTAAGGCTCCCTTTCACGTGAGCCAACGACCTCTTGGGGAACGGGCAGGTCCAAAACATGACAGCCCAAGTGCAGCGGGCCCCTTTAGCAGATGATGCCTCATTTGGGATATGGCGCGTGTTCCAAATGCACTCCCTGTCCCGACTTGGCCTCGTGAAACGCGAGCTTGGGGCCTCTATTAGGGGGTACAGCACGCTAAAAATAAGTTTTGCAAATCTCAATTCAGTGGACGACGAACTTGCATCGAAAGAAGATCAAGATCAAACCAGATGCAATTAAATAAAAAAGGATGGAAAAAGCTGAGAGGCCTCGACGACAGACAAACGTCGGAAACCATCAAATCACTGTGCACCCGAATGCGGGAGCGCCTGCATTAGTTTTGCATGTCCCACCGCACACGACAACCTGGACACGACACCTCAATGGCTGCCCGTCCACACCGGCTTCATTGAGCTCGTGTGCTGTCTGCATGGAGGGTCCCCCCTTTCCGACACGAGTGGTTTTTACTCTGTACATACGTGAGGGGGGAGGGAGGGATGCAGGCAGCCTCTCCAACTGCCGTTGAGGCCGGGACATGGCCGCGGTGCGATTGACGGGACGGGACACTGTAGGTCGGTGGGCGTGGTATGCCGACCCGGTTGCTGCTGCAGCGGTCCTTGGAGTATGCGTAGGTAGCCATGTCACTGCGGCGGCGAGAGTGCTTTGATGGGATATCCGGAGCAAGCATCTACAATTCAAGACACCGTCGTCTGCGGATTGGCAGACACAACCTCGGGGGTTCCGGGCAGACGAGAGGGGCGCTATCTGTGGCCTATCCCAGACAGACTCACTTACCTATCTCTCCGCGGCGTGCACCAGTCGGGACAGCAAAAAAAAGGCAGCATATACATGTCTCAGATGCGGACGCCTCTTTTGCTGCTGTGTCGTGTCGTGCCAGGATGCAGAGGCTTACCTATAATCGACGCCAGCCTCGTCGTCTACGTACCGCGCTCACGATGCGCAATGTTCTCTGTGTGCGTATCCGTACTGCCATGCCGTCTGAACAAGGCAAAAAACGCAAAAAACTCAAGCGCCGCTGCTGACAGACAGACGGGCTCGTCTGAACCAACAAGACTAGAATACGCAGTAGACTCTGGCGCCGTCGATGCGTTGACGCGCTGCCTTGTGGAATTGAAGTACTGTAAGCGCCACTAGGAACGTGCGAAAAAGGGGAAAAGGGGGCGTTGCCAAGACGTGGGGTGCAGTGCAGAACATCGCCGGCTCGGGACGGTAGAGTCAACAAATTGTCGTCCTGGATGCACTGGAGCATTAGCCATGCCGGCAATGGAAAGATCAGAGGTACGTCCGGGTAACTAAAGATGCACATTCTGACAGGTATATATATTTGTTTTGTTTTATTGCGTCTACTCTTGGAGCGATTTTTTTCCACAGTTAGATCTATCACCGAAGTGAAATAACATATATATACATCACCATTCACACATTAAAATGAACACAATTAAGCATTATGCCCGGATATCTATATACAATCTTGAAAAATATGCCCTGCGAGCAACGCAACAAACAAACCTCAGGTCCTCACAAGCCAAAAGCTAGGGGTCAAGCTCCTCGGCTACATGGACTTGTGGAGACAAAACTTCTTGCATCAAACAAGCAAGACAAAAAAAGTCACTTTGACGGAGTGGTTAACGTGCGCCCCTGCTATCCCACCCGTCTCCTCTTCAACAAGGGACGTGCATGCATACTAGGCCGTGTCTTCGGACGCACAGGTTCGAATCCTGTAGGTGATGGATGAGCTTTTCTTTTTTTGAGTCTGTCTCTCCCTTTTTGTTTCTGTTTCTGTCTCTTTGTGTGTGTGCTTGTTTTTGCATGTCTGGCATTTTGAGGGTTGATAACGATAACTCAGAGTTGATAATATTGTCATATCCTTACTTTAATTGACGATTTAACAGAAATAGGAGACTGTCTTTTATTGAACAAGAAAACGGGCACATGCAACTTGGACGACGTGGCAGACCAAGAAAATTCAAGTGCGCGCTACTGTCAATTATATCGATATTAACCCCAGGTCTGCCTCGTTTTCATGTATTCCTCCCAGACCACCCTGTCATCTCACATTGCCATGCCACCAAACCCCATTCCAACATCCTCCCAGACCAACCCCTGTTCCACCTCCCCCCAAAGACGCAAGACAGAAGATAGAAGAGAGAGAACCCAACCCGAACAACAAAGACAAAAACACAACAAGCCCCCTAGCCAAAAACATCGCTAACATACCTGTCCTCCTTCTGCCGTTGCAGCCACACCTCAGCCTGCGCGCGCGTCTGGTCCGGGTGCGCCTCCTGGTAGATCTTCAGACACGTCTCCGCCGTAGTCCGGCTGAGCCTGGCCGCGCTGCCGCACACGAGGATGCGCGCGTCCGCATGGTCGTGGAACAGCGGCCTCAACACATCGCGGTCGCGCCACAGCAGCTCGTCGACGTGGCCTTGCGCGTATTGTCCACCATCCTCAGAGGGAGAAGACGATGTGGGAGATGTGGGGGGAGGATTCCGTGAAAACGCCACGCGGACCGTGACGACGCCCTGCGCCTGCCACGCGGCGAGCTCGTCGGCGTACAAGAAATCTGACGCGTGGTCGCGGCAGCCGTAGTAGAGAAACGCGGGGCCGAGCACGGCTCTCGCGCCACCGGGGCGCGCGGACGCGATGGCCGCGCGGTCCTGGATGAATGCGCGCATCGGCGCGATGCCCGTGCCCGCGGCCACCATGATGACCGGCGCCGTCGGGTCTGCCGGCAGCCGGAACTTGGCCGCCGCGTTGGTGCCGCGCACGAAGCAGCGCAGGCGGGATCCTGGGAGCAAGGAGGCGAGGTAGCTGGATGCGACGCCGCGGAAGGGGACCGGTGGGTGGCTGAGGGACGGGCCGGAGTACACGTCGTACGTCAGTGTCGCGGTCAGGCTGGCTTTGTTGTCCTGGGATGATGATGAGGAGACAGAGAAAGCAGTCGAGGCGGCGGGCACGGCCTGCTGCGCCAGCGGCGACGACGAGATGGAGTACTGCCGCGGCGCCAGCGGCGAGAGCATGTCGAGGTAGCTGGCGAAGGAGAGGGCGCACGACGGGAAGTCCTCGAGCAGGTCGATGATGGAGAAGCGCTTGCCGAGCACTTCCTTGCTGTAGAGTGTGTCGTCCGAGGCCAGTGCGCCGAGGCGCTCCGCATCGGCGCTCTGCGACAGGCTGGCGAGCGTGGCGACCTGCCGCTGCGAGGCTGGCGTGGCCAGCTCGACGCGCGTGCTGATCAGCTCGTAGACGGATACGGGGTTGCCGGCGGGCGACTGTTTACATGGCAAGGTTAGTTGACTCTCGGTAAAATGCTGGTGGTGTGGGGAAGCTTACCTTGAGGTGCTCCTTGGTGGTGCCAGTCACTGTCGCCAGGTCGTCGGGGTGCAGCCCGAACCGGTTCAGCACGCGGGCGACCGACTCTCGCGGGTTAAATGGTTGAACGGCAAGGTAGTCGCCTGCAAACAGAGTCAGCGTCCATACAGACAACCCAGGGGAAAGGGGTAAGAGGGGACAGAAAGACCTACCGCTCCGATACTCAACCCCGGGCGGCAGCAGCACGTCCATCTGACGCTTCTCGGGGCCGACGCCCTGCTCGGCGAGGACCTTATTAAGCAGCACGAGGCCCTCGGAAACAGGCTCGCCCGCCAGCTTCGACGGCGTATCAGGGTGCGAGATATCCACACGCATCTCATCCGTCTTAACCGCGGCCGTGACACCCCCAACCTCGCGCAGCCGTGCAAACAGACCGGCCTTCCACTCCTCGAACGGCCCGACAATATCACGGCCGGCATCGACAAACCCGGCCGGGAACAGCCGCGTAGCGCCCAGCTGCTCGAGAAGCCCGTCGATGAGCCGCGGCACGCGGTGGAACGTGGCGGCCCAGTCGCGGTTCCCCGCGCCGAAGACGGTGTACTCGACGCCGGCTAATAGAGTCGAATTGCCGGGTGCAGCGGCGCGGGCCTCGAGCCAGGCGACAAAGTTGCGCGCGTTGTCTGCGGGCAGGCCCTCGAACGACGACGCGATGATGACCACGGGCCGGCCGCGCGGCAGGTTCTCGACGGCGTCGTCCAGGCTCTGCACCTGCAGCGGCACCGCCAGCCCGTAGTTGGGCGCCGCCGTCTCCAGGTCCTCGCCGAAGGATTTGCACGTCCCCGTGTTGCCGCCGTAGTAGATGGCCATGGGCTTGCCGCTGCCGCTGCCGCTGCCGCTGTTGGCGTCGGGCTTGCTGCTGGTGTCGGCAGGAGGGTGTGGCGCCGGGGCCGGCCCGCCGGTGAAGGTGAAGGTGAAGAGGTGGCCTTTGCCCGGGCGGCGGCGCGCCTTGATGAAGAAGCCGTCCGGCTTGATGGTCAGTGTCGGCTTGACCTCTGCGAAGACACACACAAGGGCTGTCAGTATCAAGGCTACACGCGTCCGTATCGCTTTCAGGGGGGGCTGGTTTGTGTGAAACTTACTCAGCTGGTAGTCGGGGTCGGCCGCCTCAATGACGAAGCGCTGCAGGATCAGGGCCACGGCCATGGTGATCTCCTGCTCAGCGAGGTAGCGGCCGATACACGAGCGCACGCCGGTGCCGAAGGGCCGCCAGGCGTTGGGGGGCAGGCGCTCGAAGCCGCCGTCGAGGAAGCGCTCGGGCTTGAACTCGTTGACGTCGTCGCCCCAGACGGCCGGGTCGTGGTGCAGGCCCTTGAGGTTGACGATGACGGCGTCGCTGGGGCCGACCTTGTACTTGCCGCCCAGCAGCACCGTCTTGCCGCCCTTGGCGTGGCGAGTGAGGGCTGGGATCGGCCCCAGGTACCGCAGCGTCTCCCGGATCGATGCCTCGATGTACTTGAGCTTGGACACGTCGTCGAGCTCGAGCGGCCGGTCGCCCAGCACGGCGTCCACCTCGGCGTAGCACTTCTGCAGCGCTTCAGGGTGCTGCAGCAGGTTGTACCACAGAAAGTTCAGCGTGCCCGCCGATGTGTCGTGGCCGGCGACCTAACAAATCAGCACGCGATCAGTAAAATGGTGCACTCAGCCTCCACCTCGAGGGGCTTACCAAAAAGGTTGCCATCTGGTAGCGAATGTTCTCGTCGGTGAAGCCCTTGCCGGTGACGGGGTCTTTGGCGTGGAGCATGACGTTGAGGATGTCGTTGACGTCGGGGCGGGGGTTCGCCTTGCGCTCGGCCACGATGTCGTCGCAGACCTTCCACATGGCGTGGATGTTGTCCATCATGTGGTTCTTGCTCTGGAAGCGCAGCTGGTTCTCGATGCACAGGCGGCTCGACCGCTTGCCGGCCTCGACGAGCGTCTCGGCCATCTGCTTGGCGAACAGCGGGATGTCGTCGCCGTAGAAGGCGTTGAAGCGGAAGTTGAATGCACAGAGACCGATCACGTCGAACGCGAGCCTAGATTATCATGTTAGACGCTGTCTCGGCCTCTTTTTTTTTTCCTTGTCTGGAGCTCACCGGGTGAATTCGTCGGTGCAGTTGATGCGGTTGTCGGGGCCGAAGCGGTCCCAGCGGAGGACCATCTGGGACAGTATGTCCATCATCTGCGAGTACATCTGCCGCACGTGAATGGGCCCGAAGACGGGCAGCAGCGTCCGGTGCGCAATGCCCCATTCCTGCGTTCATGCGTGTCAGCGCGGGCTGTCATCATCAAGCGGACGCAGTTTGGGCTTGTAAGGGGTGTACCTCTTCGTCGCTATAGGAAGTAAACAGGCCTGTTCAGGGGTAGGCGTTAGTATTGCCAGTGTCAGGTCGGTCAGGGGGCAACGACATACCATTCTTGACAAAAACGCGGACGCTCTCCTGCGGACCGCTGACAAACTTTTCGAAGCGAGAGTCGTCGCAGACCTCGTTGATGAGCTCGAAGTTGGATACAATGACTACTTTGCGCGAGACGAGATTGAGGGAGAAGATGGGGCCGTAGATTTCGGCGAGGCGCCAGAAGGAGCTGACGGCAAAGGACGGGTCTAGCTCCTGGATGTTGCCGACGAGCCACTTCTCGGGCGGGTGCGGGATGGGCTCGCCCTCGCCCACGTCGGCGTCGGCATCGACCTTGGGGGGGTGTTCCTCTTGGGGCTTGGCAAGGGGGGGCGAGGGGTGGTGGAATGGGCAAGACATGTTGGGCTGGGGGCTGGACGCCTATCAATGCCTACTATCAGGTATGTACATGTACCTACCCAGAGGTGAATGAAGTAGAAGGTTGAGAGCAATGGATGCAAGTCACTGCTGACTGTCGACTGTCGACTGTCGGCTCTCGACTGCTCACGGCTTGGTGGCTTGGCTGTGAGTTGACAAGTCCGGAGGGCATCTCGGATATTTTATACTTGGACTGGCTGGCATGCCACGAAAGGTGTCAGACTGGCTACAGTGCCTGTCTACACGTCTCTGTCCAACCAAGAAGCCCGGCGAGGACATGACCGAGCCGAGGCTGTCGTCGTGTGTCAACATGACGCGGTATAGCTAGGTAGTATAACCGCCCCAGGTAGGTAATAGGTAGTATGCGCGGTGTGCGCGGTTGCTCCGTCTCCGTCTCCGTCTCCGTCCATCCCTTGACTACCTAGGAAGGAAGCAAAAAAAAAGAAAAGATGACGACGTCAATCTCAACATGTACCATTATCGCAGCAGAGCAGCGGCATTATCGCCAATGCAACACAGGCCTTAGTAACGGCTGCTTCTTTTCTGCGCCAGACGTTGCACAACTTTTCAGCATTCGCGGCGTGTTCTGTGCTCAGTCGGTATTCGGGGTC